TGAGAAGCGGGTCACTTCTGATTAGAAAGTAAAACTTCTGTATGCTATGTTTAATTAGCTGAAAGACCTGATTTATTGATGTTGGAAGGCTGCCTTCTTTGTTCACAATACTATAACAAGATTGCTGTACACAATAAAGGGCTTTTTTTCTGCTGCTGCTTTGCTTGCTCTGCTTCTTCTTTCTTTTCCCATGCTGACCTGCAAGTGAATTACTGCAACACAGATTTAGTCTGTGACATATTTAAAAATGTGTGTGCGTGTGTTATAATTGTGTGAAATATAATGTGTGATTTGAGTGTTATTAGAAATTAGACTGGGGGGGGCTGGGGTTGTAGCTCAGTGGTTCAGGGCTCACCTAGCACGAGTGAGGCACTGGGTTCGATCCTTAGCACCACATAAAAATGAAATAAAGGGAGGGCTGTGACTGTGGGTCAGTGATAGACTGCTTGCCTAGCATGTGTGAGTCACTGAGTTCAACCTCAGCACCACACACATAAATAAATAAACAGATTAAAATGTATCATGTCCCTCTATAACTAAAAAAAAAAATATTAAAAAAAAATAAATTAGATTAGAATGGAATAAAAGAACTTGAGTTTGCCCGGGTTATGACTATCAGGTGACCCTCAAGTATTGTTGAATTGCCACCACTGAAAGTGGTGTAGCTTGTGAATTCATTGTTATTCAACAAATTCTGACATTATGGAAAAATGCAAATGGTTTTGGTTTCTGTTGGTGGCACAGCTTGCTCATGGCATGTATGCATACAAGAAAAGGAAAATTTGGACACAGACTCAAAGGAGAAAGTACCACATGGAGAAGGAGCAGATTGAAGTAAGGCCAGGGGTCTTCCAGAGGCGGGAAGAGTCAGGGAACAGTCCTGTAGGCTTCAGAGAGAACACATCCCTGCCAACACTTTAATCTCAGACTTCTAGCCCTGGAACCATTAAATCCATCTCTGTTGTGCCACCAACACTGCTATAGCAGCCCTAGAAATATTCATATATTTTATAAAATCTTTTTGTTTATAACTTTTTGTTTCTCATAGAGAAATACCTAGGATTGGGGACTGGAGCTGTGGCTCAGTGGTAGCGCACTTGCCTGGCATGTGTGAGGCACTTGGTTCGATTCTCAGCAGCATGTATAAATAAATAAACTAAAGGTCCACTAACAACTAAAAAAAAAAAAAATTAAGTCATTTTCTGTGCAATTCAATATTAAAAAAAAAAAAAGAAAGAAAAAAAAATACCTAGGATTGCAATTTCTAGGTCCTAGAGTATCTGTATCTTTAAACTTTTCTGTTGTTTTTGCAGTACTGGGGATGAGTCCAGGGCCTTGGGCATGCTAAGCAAGTGCTCTGCCACTGGAGTGCATCCCCTAACCTGTATGCTTAAATTAAAAGAAACTGCTAAGCAATTTTTCAAATTAGTTGTCTAGTTTACACGTCCACAAACAGTAGATAGCTGATGCAATTACTGTACAAACTTTCCCAAATATGTGTAGTCAGTTCTATTTCAGCTCTGCTGAATGGGTGAAATGATATCTCATTGTGGTTTTAATCTGTACTACCACACTACCAGTAGTGGCAATAATCCTTCATGTAGTTATTGCGTGTGTGTGTGTGTGTGTGTGTGTAATTCTAGTAAAATCTTTTTAATATTGATTTGCAAAAGTTCTTTATATATTCTGGGTATCAGGCCTTTGTTTGGCACGGTGCTCTGAATATTTCTTCCACTGTATGGCTTTCCTGTTTTGTTTTTATTATTATTATTGAAATTGAAAGCCTTTTTTTATTTAAAACTCACTAACAGGTATGGTGGCACACACCTGTAATCCTAGCTATTCAGGAGGCTGAGGCAGGAAGATCACAAGTTAAAGGCCAGCCTGGGCAACTTAATGAGAACCTGTCTAAAAATAAAACAAAGAGTCTAGCCAAGTATGCTGGTGCACACCTGTAATCCCAGCAATTTGAGAGGCTAAGGCAGGAGGATCACAGGTTCAGGCCCAGGAAAATTGCCACAGTGAGGAACCTCCCATTTCCAGTCCCCATTGGGTTTCAGCAGAGTGCAGCTTCCCCTGCCTGTGATGACAACGCGTGGCCCACTCCCACACCTAGAGCTGACACCGTACACCGTGAAACTGCCGCCTATCTGGACCCTCTGCTTTGACAGCTCTGCCGACTGGAACTGGTCGTTAAAATCCAGTTCCAGTGACTCTTTGCATTCATCTCTCAGTGCTCTTGGCTCAGTATTCTGTAACCTTGCGGCTGCTTTCTTTCTGTGGCCCATTTATATGTCACTGTGTGAAGTGGGTGTGCCTAGAGGATGGGAATAAAAGAACCCGTGACAGCCCGGCTTACGCCCACCAGACGACCCAGGAGCGCTCAGCGAACCTCCGCGGTGGCGGTGGGGGGCATTCGGCAAGTTCTGACGCTGCGGAGAGGCGGCGGGGCGGCCCGTGTCGAAGGCAGGCTCGCTCAGTCGCTTCCACTGGGCCCCGGCGCTCCACCTCGGTGTGCAGCGGCGTCGCCCTCCTCTTTGGAAGGCTTTACGGGCCCAGGCTCGCACGCCGCGCGTCACCCGTTCAGCGCGCACAACCCCACACTACAGAACTTCGGAAAACCAGAGTCACCCACCTTAAGTGGACTCTGCGGGAGTCACGGAGACCCGGGCGAACCGCGCCGAGCAGCTCGCCCGGCTTCCCTCTCCCGACACCGAGCGGCAGAAAAGAGCGAGCCTGCAGCTCCGACCCACTTCGCCGCCGGGCGGGCCATAGAGTCCCGCCCTCCGCTTTGCTAGAGCGGCCCGGAAGTGTCTCGCGCCCCCGTCCCCGGCCCCCGGGTCGCGAACCATAGAGCCGAGCGCTCCGCTTTCCTAGAGAGGCCCGTGAGAGTCTGGGGCCACACGGAGGCCGCGCCCAGCTTCTGGCTTGCTGCTGCGGAGGGCTCCAGGTGCGGGGGCGTGAGGGCGCGGGAGGGGGCACTGGGGCGACATCCCCGCGGTGGCGTCGCGAGCGGAGACCCGGCCCCTCGGTGTGGGAGATGGCCCTACGAGTTTGTCTTGAGCGCCGGGCGGACACGGCCGCGGGGTGCGAAAGGGCCGTTTATCCGGAAGAGGGGAGCCGGGCCTGGGCAGCGGCAGCACGTCAGAGCCCAGGGGCCTCTGAATACTCGTGAGGGAGCGCCCTGCTCCCTCTACCCAGCTTGTCGAGGTGGACCGTGCACTCCCCCTGGGGCAAATGTGTGGGCACGTCGCCCGTGACGACGATGTCACCACTGTTTTTTCAGGTAGTGCCACAGCCCTCTTTACGTGGTGCACTGCCTCTACCTGGTCCTCCTGCAGGGGAGGCTGAGTGTAGCCCCTGTGCTAACGCGGCCCTTCTTAGTGGGCAGGTTTAGACGCTAGTTTTTGGCTTGGGCAGCTGCATTTGTAGGCTGGATTTCCTTTGTGAGGTGAAAATGATTAGGTCTTGCAGGGACGTTGTGAATATTCTGGGTTGAGTAGTGAGGGGTCCCAACTGCCGTGTCCTGTGCCTGCGGGTATTTCTCCTAATATAATCTTGTATCTGTTAGTTTAGGATTTACATACGCTCTCTCTCTTTTTTTTTTTTTTTTTTCTTGGTTCTCTTCCTTTTCACCCACTTCCCTACCAACTCCTGCTCATCTCAGACGTCACTTCCTCTGAGAAGCCTCCCCTCTTATCAGGACCCATGTGGGCCTCTTTTCCACCTGCTCACGGGGTCATTTCCCTGGTCCCATCACACCTACTGTCACTGGTACTTCAATCCATCAGCATCCTAATGGTGGGGTCCACATGATCCTTAAGGTCCTAAGGATGTGGCAGTCACTGGCCTTCCCTCCCCCTTCCCTTCAGGGAGCTGTGGCTGGGACCTCCCCTCTGGCTGATCAAGGAGGAGGAAGCAGCGATGTCTGCCTTAGGGACTGCAGCTCCATACCTGCATCATCCTGCTGACAGTCACAGTGGCCGGGTCAGTTTTCTGGGGCCCCAAGTCCCTCCAGAGGTGGCAGCAATGGCCCGGTTTCTGGGAGACCTGGACAGGAGCACATTCAGAAAGTTGCTGAAGCTTGTGGTTAGCAGCTTGCAAGGAGAGGACTGCCGAGAGGCCATGCAGCACCTGGGTGCCAGTTCCAGCCTGCCAGAGGAGCAGTTAGGTGCCCTACTTGCTGGCACACACACACTACTCCAACAGGCTCTCCGGCTTCCCTCTCCCAGCCTGAAGCCTGATGCCTTCAAGGACCAACTCCAGGAGCTCGGCATCCCCCAAGACCTGGTTGGGGACTTGACCAGTGTGGTTTTTGGTGGTCAGCGCCCCCTCCTGGACTCTGTGGCCCAGCAGCAGGGTTCCTGGCTTCCCCACATTGCTGACTTTAAGTGGAGGGTGGATGTGGCAATTTCCACCAGTGCCCTGGCCCGCTCCCTGAAGCCAAGCATCTTGATGCAGCTGAAGCTTTCAGATGGGTCAGCATATCGCTTCGAGGTTCCCACAGCCAAGTTCCAGGAACTGCGGTACAGTGTGGCGCTGGTCCTGAAGGAGATGACAGATCTGGAGAGGAGGTGCGATCGCAGACTGCAGGACTGAGCCTCCCTTGTCAGCATTGCAGCTGGTGCCAGAATGCAACTTGCATTTCCTCTAGTTGGATGCTAGACTGCATGTCACCCCTTCCCCAGGTTTTTTTTTTTTTGTTGTTGTTGTTGCTTCTGAGTGTGGTAAAGTGACAGTCTGGGGTCCAAATCAGGGTCCTCTGAATATGCCTTTGCTCAGCCTGACCCCACTAAGCATCTGGGCCCTTTTTCTTGTTTGCTTTCATAAATGCTGTTTTTGGTGTGGGCACTTTTGTCTGTCTTAAATCCCTGCCCTTGTGGGGCTGATATCGTTGTGGGTTGGGAAGCGGGGGAAACATTACAAAATGCATAGTAAACAGTGGGTACAGCTTATCAAGGGGTGACAAATGTGTACTTAGTTTTGAGCAAGGTGGGGTATAGGCTGTGAGGACATGCCTGCCCCTATAAGCTGTATCATGGCTGGACTTCCTGGAGAACATGGTATCTGAGCAGACTTGAAAGACAGGAGTTGTGGGAATGAAGTCCACTGGGGGACCAGCTGGTGCACAGGTGATGAGTAGAGAGAGACCAGGTATATTGGATGTCACGTGCCTCCAACCAAGTAGGAGGAGGTCATTGGAGGGAGGTAAAGCTGGGGAGGGTACACAGGTCAGGTCTGAGAAATTCTGCTCAAAGTATTGTGGTTGAAGTCTAAGCCAAAGTGGGAGTCCCTGAGGGTTTTCAACAGAGGAAGGATGTACTCTGGTGGTTGTTTTAGAAGGATAACACTTCTATTATTTTAAAGGATAACATTATCCAGGGGTGGTGGTAAATATGTGTAATCCCAGGCACTTGGGAGGCTGAGGCAGGAAGATTGCAAGTTCAAGACCAGCCTCAGCAACTTATTGAGACCTTTTCTCAAAATTAAAAATAAAAAGGATGGGGATGTAGCTCAGTGATAGAGTGCCCCTGGGTTCATTATCCAGTTCCATGAAAATAAATAAGTAAAAGGATAATACTGTTTCTGTGTTTAGAGTAGTATGTAGGGGAACAGGGAGGAGGTTGAGAGTCCACTATGAGGGGTGCTGTTGTAAGGTGGAGCTGCTGGATAGGGTAGGGGGCCTTTCTGAGTGCCTCCAGGGTAGCTATGTTGGGGGGGGGGGTGTATGGCCAGCTTTGTAGTCCTCAGAATAGCCATTCTCTGGCTAGGGGTCTTAGGGCTGTCAGACTATCTGCTTGAGGGGTCCCTGCTTCCTGCACTTTTTTAGTCTACATCTGGTTGGTTCTCTGCTGAGAAACCAGTTCATACATCTCATAGGATAATCAGGCCTAAGTGCAGGAACTTCTGAGAACAGCAAATAAAGTTTGCTGTTCCGGGCCAGCCTGTTACTCACATAGGCTGTTTGAAAAATGCTTGGTTTCTTCCATCTCAGTGAACACCTTTTTTTCTCTTGAGTGAGAACTACAGCTGTGGCAACTTAGGTGTGGGCCACAGGGAAAGGAAAAGGCTGCCTTTTGAGGACAGAGGGCTGCCAGGGAGGCTGCTGTGTTTCTAGAGCTGGAGGATTCACAGGCCTGGCTCAGCTAAGGGTGCAGAATGCCCCTGTGTCCTTCAGCCTCAGCTGGGTCCCCCAGGACCACTGGCCCACCTTGAAGGGAACAAGGAGATCCAGACCCGCAAAAAAGGATGTACACAAGTAAGCAGAGTGCCCATGTCAACCTTATCCAGTGACAGAGCTTTTTATGTCACATACTTATGATCTCAACTATTAGATGTGTTGGAGACTATGTACTCATGATACATTTGGAAATAAAACAGGAATGTAGGGACAAAAATTTTTTACTTAAGTCCCTCCATACAGTGGCACTGAGGCCAGAGGATCCCAAGTTTGAAGCCAGCCTGGCAACCTAGTGAGACCCTGCATCAAAATAAAAATTTAAAAATGGCTGGGAATGTAGTTCAGTGGTGGAGTGTGCCTGGGTTCAATACCCAGTACTGGAAAGAAAAAAAAAGTCCCTTTGCCCACATGTAAAGCATCTTGACACTGCTACGAGTCTATCTAACTGTCCACATGGCTCTGTGGTAAAGTTCAATCCCCAGTACTAAAAAACAAAAACAAAAAGAACAGAGAAAGAAAGGTGCCAGGCAAAGCAGTCAGAGTGAATTCTAGGCACACCACTTCTGGACTTCTAACATGAGCCCAAACACGTCGGCTTCACTTGCTTTATCTTTTCAAGCTTTTTCACGAAAACAAACTTACAGCCCTTACCTCCACTGGCCAGGGCTCTAGGCACACACTGAAAGGGCAGAGGCAGAGGACTTGGAGAAGCAGGTAATACCATGTTCCACCTCACAGAGGGGCTTTGATGTACCCTGAATAGAACTGAGTCAAGACCCTTCACTTAGTAGTCTTCGTGTCTGCTTCTTAAGGAGGGAGAAAAACTGTTAAGGAAAACTGTATTCAGGATGTAATGCTTTGTAAGGTCAACTACCCAGGACCACCTCAGAAGGCAGAGGGGAGATGGCAGCCCAGGCACATGGGGACATATAGGCCATGAAGCTGGTGGGGGAGTGGATGGATAAGAAAACTTGAGTTTAAGGGGACTTCTGGTGAAACTGACCTATCAGGGTTCTTGTTAAAATGGGACAGTGCATAAAAGAACATGGAAGCTGGAAAGTTGTTATGGTGAGCAAGCTATGCCATTAACACAGACTGCTCATATTTGTAAATTCCACAATATCAGAATTTGTTGAATAAATTCACAGGCTACATCAGTTTTTTCATCACTGTTAATTTACTGATACTTATGGTGTGACTGTGGTAATCACAAATTATTCTGTTCCAATTTTAATTACTAATATCGTTAACACCAAAGTGGATTTATAAGTTACAGAACCGTTAGGGAAGGGATAACCATGGCCTCAGAGTTTGTTTATTGCAGTGCTGGGGATGGAACCAAGAGCCTTGTGCTTGCCGGGTAAGAGCTCTCTACCCATGAGCTATATCTCCAATCAACCCTTTTTTATTTTAAGACATGTCTAAGTTGGCTAAGCTATTCTTAACTTGCAATCCTCCTGCATCAGCCTCCCGAATCGTGCGCTTTTTAAAAAAAACATTTTTAGTTATTAACACAATGCCTTTATTTTATCTATTTATTTTTATATGGTGCCAAGAGTCGAACCCAGGGTCTCGCACGTGCTAGGCGAGCGCTCTACCGCTGAACCACAACCCCAGCTCCAGCCCTGCCGTCTTTTTGTAAGGTTTATTTTTTGCAGCACTGGGAATGGGTCCCCAAAATCCAGGCCAGCGCTGCACACTGAGCCGCAGCACACCCCCAGGTTGTGCATAGCCAATTTGGGGCGTCAAGGTCATCCCTTAGCTTCACCTTATTTTTACTTCCCAGTAACCCCGCCGTACTGCCTCCTCCATTTTACCAAGTGCTACTTTGAACTAACCTATTGACACTGTCGGGAGACTGCGGAGATGAAGCACCTGTAGTGCGGAGCCGGGCGGGCTGAAGCCGCAGGTGGGGCAGGACTGCCGTTCCCCTCCAGCAGTCCGCGGACCACCGTTGGCTTGGGTCCTTGGAGTCCTAGACCAGCCCCGGAAATGAGCGGGGCTGGGCTTCATCCCGCTTCCGGCTCTCGGTCTCCAGGGAAGGGCTGCCTGCGCATGCGCAGCTAGATCGTCTCGCCCCGTCTCCGGCTGGTCGGCGCACTACGCTGCTGCTAGCTGCCGAGCTCGGTCTTCGGACCCGACGCTTCCTGTGAGCCGGCACCGAGGTGAGGCTCTTCGTGGCTCCTCCCGCAGTGCAGGTAGCCGGCGGCGGCCGGGCCGGCGGCTGTGAGGGTGTTACACGGGAAGCCACGCACTAAGCGAACGAGTTCGATGATTGCTGGACGCGCCGGCAGGCAGGTTCCGGCCGAGGGCTCTAGTGATGCTGGGGACACTGGGGGAGGGGGCACAGGCGGCTCTCAGAGCCTGTCGGGCGCGCGCCCGCGACCGACCACCCGAGAGGCGGGCGGAGGCTGCGGGGAGTACGAGGCCTTGCGGGCGGGGGTGAGACCGGGGCGTCAGTCCACGCTGGGGCTGGGCCCTCGAAGCTCGCCCGCACCGCGCCGCCCGGGGTAGCGGGAGGCCTCAGGGCGCGGCACGCCAGCCTCAGGCCCCGAGATTGGACGGCCGGAGCTGCAGCGCCCGCCGCCGGCCCTCCTGCGCACTGGCGGGAGCGGGCCTAGGGTGTGGAGAGGGTACACAGGCCCCAGGAGGCCTCTGCGAGAATGCAGGCTGCCTCCTTCCTCTGGTCGCGTCTCCGCTGTTCTTGCCGAACACGCCCAAGTCTCCTGAGGGAGAGCTGGGTGGCCGCAGACCGTGGCGCCCCCTGCTTTCTCTCGGATTCCATGGCGGCCGCTTCGGGGGATGGCAGCCGAGTCCGGCCGGGAGACTTGACGTTCCTCCCCGCCATCCGCAGTCGGAAGCCGTCTCCGGACCTGTGAGCCTTGAGGTGGGGGAAGCCGAAGAGTTGATAATGTGGACCCACGTCCTCCCGCAGGGGTCGCGGCTCTGAGCTTAGCGGGTCCTGGCTCCACAGCCCCCCGGACCGCGAATCCGCTTCCAGGAGCGCGCCAGGCACCACGCCGTGCGGTCCCCGGGCGCGATGCCGCTGACTTTCCAGGACGTGGCAGTGTACTTCTCCCCAGCGGAGGGGCAACAGCTGGGGCCCCAGCAGCGGGCGCTGTACCGGGATGTGATGCTGGAGAACTATGGGAACGTGGCCTCCCTAGGTGAGAACTCCCTCTGGCTTCTGGAGCGGGGGTGGGGCAGGGGGAGGGGGTGCCTCTCTAAGGGGCTCATGGGCTGCTTTGGCTTTTTGGATCCCAAGAAGGTCCCGCCCTCATCCCCGGGTAACAGTCTGATCTCTGCTGAAAGAACACTGCCCGTGAGAGAGCCTTGCTGCCCGATTCGAGGGACTTCGCTCCCTTTGCCAGTGGCCCAGTGGTGGTGTTCCTCCCTGCCGCCCCCAGGAGAACAGGGTGAATTCTTCCTTAAAACAAAACAAAAAACACTTCAGCCCCTGGCTTTCTCTGACCAAGCATGGCAGCAAGCAGGCACTTCTCACCTGGCTTGGGAGACCTGGTGGGCAGAGGCCGCACAGGCTCACCCAGGTTTTCACCCTCAACAGGATTCCCTGTCCCTAAGCCAGAGCTGATCTCCCAGCTGGAGCAAGGCGAGGAGCTGTGGGTCATGGATCTTCTGGGGGCTGAAGAATCAGAGGTCTTGAGAAACTGCCGAACAGGTGAGAATGGGCAGGAGGCTAACCCTAAGAACCCCCCTCCCAGTTCTACACTCACTGCAGCAGTGAGGGCGGTTGGGTTGTTGTGCTTAGTCCAACCGCTCCAAGAGCAGATGTAGTCACCACAGACATGTGGCATGTGCTCCTTGTTTACAAGGGCTTCCCTTACTGCTCCATTTGCTTTACTCTAGAAAATGTATGCAGTGCCCAGTGCCCGTTGTATGCGTTTTGTGGCACCTTCATTCTCTTCTTTACATAATACTCTTTCTTGCTGGCTTTCTTTTGACAGTAGCTATGGGTTGCCTGTCATGTCCTTTTCTTCTTCACCTTTTCTTTCCTCTAACTCAGTTTGGTCAGTAGTATTCTCTCTCTTTCCTTCTTGAGACCTGTGTCCTCATGTGCACATGCTTTTGCTCTCTCGCTATCAGTGTATTGTGGGCTGGTCTTGAATTTATGGACTCAAGCTTCCTACTGCTTCGGCTCCTGAGTGAAGTCACAGTTCCTGGGTCAATAGTATTTTTTTATTTTTTTGGTACAGGGGATTGAACCCAGGGGCACGCAACCACCAAACCGCCTCTCCCCATCCTATTTTGTATTTTATTTACAGACAGGGTCTCACTGAGTTGCTTAGTGCCTCACTTTTGCTGAGGCTGGCTTTGAACTCACAATCCTCCTGCCTCAGCCTCCTGAACCACTAGGATTACAGGCATGAGCCACCGTGCCCAGCAATAATATTTTTTTAAATGTGTACTTTTTTCTGTTGGATCCAGCTTCTCTACTTTTTTCATCAGCTACTGAGGCTTGTTATGCTTTCTACCTTTTTCTCCTCCTTCCTCTCTATTTTTTTTTTTTGTTATTTTATTGCTCTACACTGTCAGAATATGTAATTCCTTTACCCTTTACTATTACTCCTAGCCCCACCTTTGATGTTGTTGTTTTTTGCTGTTAAGTATATATTTTTTTTACCTTTTAGTTAATTGTTGAACCTTTTACCAGAAATTTCTGCATCATTTCTCTGTTGGCTGGAGCTTGTCTTCCAGTTACTCAGAAAGACTCTTGTAAATAATATGCCCCAAATTTATGCACATTCAAAACCACCTGTTTGAAGCCTTTTGCTTCTGGCAGTGGGTGCTAAAATTGTTGACTTGCGATGCTTCTTTTTGTAGAAAGGTGGAGTTATAAGACTGAAAGCATGGCTGTAGTTCCAGTTTGGAAAATTTTAATGTTATATTTTTGTCATCATTTAGTCCAAGATATTATGTTTTGTGATTTCTTTGACCCAATGATTAGTTGGATGTGTGTTACTTTTCAAAACAATTGGTACTTTTCTATTTCTTATTGTTGTTGACTTGTCATTTAATTCTACCAGGGTCAGGGAACCTATTCTTGTATAATTTCATTCTTCTCGTTTTTGCTTGCTCTTGTTTTATGACTCTAGGATCTCTCTCAGTAAGTATCTGCGTGCATGTAAAAAGGGTGGGTTCAATGGGCTGCAGCTGGGGCTCAGTGGAAGAGCACTTGCCTAGCACATTCGAGGTGCTGGGTTCTATCCTCAGCACCACATATAAAATTAATTAATTAATTAATTAATTAATTAATTAAAGATTTTTTTTAAAAAAAGGGATAGGTTCAAGTAGCAATTAAGTCAAGGTGCTTCATGGTACCATTTAGATATCCCCCAGCCCTTTGCTCATTTTATGTGTAGTTATTTTATTTATGTATTTATTTATTTATTTTTTGGGGGGGCGGTACTGGGGATTGAACTCAAGGATACTCAACCATTGAGCCACATCCCCAGCCCTATTTTGTATTTTTTAGAGACAGGGTCTCACTGAGTTGCTTAGCATCTCGATTTTGCTGAGGCTGGCCTTGAACTCTTTAATATTTTTTTAGTTGTATATGGACACAATACCTTTATTTTATTTTTATGTGGTGCTGGGAATCAAACCCAGTGCCTCACTCATGCTAGGCAACTGCTCTACCACTGAGCTACAAACCTGGCCCTGGCCTTGAACTCTTGATTCTCCTGCCTTAGCCTCCTGAGCCCCTGGGATTACAGGCGTACACCACCACACCCAACAGTGTAGTTATTCTTTAGTTACTAAGAGAAGGTGTTAAAATACCCACATGTGATTGTGGAATTGTCTTGTCTTTAATTTTCTCAGTGTCTGGTTCATGTACTTTGAAGCTGTGTTATTTGTATTATTTTTACTTCTAATCATCATTTTTAGGGATAAGAGGATCCTTTATCATCTCTGGTAATATATTTGGTTCTGACTATATTTCATCTGATATGTCATAGCAGTTCTAGCCTTAGCCTTATTCTTTTTTTTTTTTTTTGGTACTGGGGGTTGGACTCAGGCACTCAACCAACCCCCAAGCCACATCCCCAGTCCTTTTTTAATTTTTTTTTAAACTTTGTTTTATTTGTTTATTTATTTTTTTATGTGGTACTGAGGATTGAACCCAGGACCTTGCACGTGCCAGGCGAGCCCTGTACCACTGAGCCTTTTTAAAAATTTTTTATTGTCATAGAGGGATAACATGCCTATATTTTTATTTTTTTAGTACAGTGCCTCACCTGTGCTAGGTAGGCAGTCTACCACTAAGCTATAGCCCCAGCCCCTTATCTTTTAATTGTAGTGCTTAATCTATTAATATTTAATGTCTCGTTGTGTGTGTGTGTGTGTGTGTGAGAGAGAGAGAGAGAGAGAGAGATAATGGGGATGGAACCCAGGGCCTTATGTGTGACAAGCAAGCACTCTACCACTGAACCACATCTCCAGCCCTTTTTTTTTTTTTTTTAATTTGAAACAGGGTCCTTTTTTATTTCTCTTTTTTGCCTTTCATGTACTAATTCATTATAAATCTCAACCATCCCTTCCCTCCTTTATGGTAAAGTTATATGTAATATATCTGTGTACATTTGAGACAATATTATAATTTTCTTTTTAAATCGTCATAGATGATTAACAGCAGAGTTATGTCCTGATGAACCCATCATAAGTTGGAAATCACTTAGTGCATCTAACCTACCAAATATGCCAGCTTAGCAGCACAGCACACTGGAGAGTACAGTTGTTGCCCTGTGATCTTGTGGCTGCCTGGGAGTTGTGACTTCTGCCACTGCCCAGCATTGCAAGAGAGATCATAGTGCCCAAGAAAAGATTAAAAATTCAAAATAATATAGTTTCTATTGAATATATATCACTTTGTGCTGTCATAAGATTGAAAAAGTCTTATGCAAAACCCTCCTCAAAGGTCAACGTGTAAAAGGCTAAACTGAGGAGCCATTGGGAAGTTGGGCTTGGGGGAAGAAGCAAGGTCAGTGGGAGAATGCCACTGGAGAGTCTCTGGGACCCACGCCATCCTATCTGTTTTGTGCCTGGCCGCCATGGAGTAAACAGGCTGCCATGCTAGGCTCCTGCCACAATGCGTACTGCTGCCACAGGCCCAGAGCACAGGCCAAGTGACTATGGGCTAAGACTTCTGAAACTGTGGCCAGAATAAGTGTCTCCTCCATTTACCTATCTAAGGTATTTCATCACAGTAATGAAAACCTAACAGTTGAGGAACCATTTGTATGTAGTTTATGAAAAAATAAAAGAAAAAAAATAGACTTTTTGCTGTCTCGACATGTAAGGAGCTTAGAAGTTGCTGCGGGATTCTAACAAGTAAAGAACTGAACAAACTGGAAAATCAGTGACTCTTGGATCAATCAGAGTTGAGGTCCCAGGGCAAACCACTGCACCCAAATTGGATAGGCAACACAGTCATGATTTGTGAACAGGAACCTCCAGGGGAAATGGTGCAGGTAGGAAACCTGAAGAGAAATGGACAAATTGACAGAAGCTCAGTGTGGACAAGTCTGAGCTATAAAAATGACAGGAGACCTGTCATGGAGGCTCATAAACATTTGAGGGTTTTTTGTTTTTTTTTTTACCGCCAGAAATGTGATGAATCCCACAGTGAACATTGGGGGAAATCTCCTTATGCTTCTGGCAGGGGAAAGGGAAAAGAAACTTCTGAAATATGTCAGAGCACTATTCCTCACAAAGCTGTTCTCTAGATAGATGGCCTTGCCAGAGCCTGCCTGACCTGAGCAAGGAAGCTCCCAGCCCAGCACTCTGTTCTCCCTGACCTTGTGAGGGCCCTGGAGCACAGGTTTATGGTGCTGCATGCCTCATTGCACAGCCAACATGGCAGCACTGAGGCATGGGTGCCACAGCTCCCTTACCCAGCTTGTCACATCTGCCTTTTAACAAAGACCTGTAAGACACTGAAAGAAAAATGCAGTGTGGAGAGACTGAACAAACATTAGAATGAGAGTCATAACTGGCAAGAGTGTTGGAATTACCAGATCAGGGATTTTTTTTAAAACTAATATGACTAAGGCTTTAGTGGAAAATGTATGATGTACAGAAACAGATATATAATATAGGCAGAGAGATTGAAATTCTAAAATAGAATAAAAAATGCTAGAAATGAAAAACACTATAATAGTAGTAATGACAGATGCCTTTGATGACTCACTAATAGACTGGTCAGGGTTTTGAGTATAATGTTATTTGAAGGCACACTTGGATTAGTTGTAAGTGTAGATAGAAAACCAATTAAAAACAAAAGTACAAGACAAGTATAATGAATATGGCGACAAGGAGACAAAGTGGAGTAATAGAAAATACTCAAAACCACAAAATAAGTAGCCCAGTGATAGAGCATTTGTATAACATGTGTAAGACCTTAGGTTTGATCCCCAGCAGTGAAGAAACCATTTTTAAACCAGAAAATGCAGAAAAAAGTATAGAAGATAAACAGGGACAAAGATCAACTGTAATATATAAAACAGGGACAAATGTTGTCAATATTAATTTCAACAATATTAGTCTTTTTTTTTTTTTTTTTTGCGGGGGTATCAGGGATTTAACTCAAAGGCGCTGGGCCACATCCCCAGCCCTATTTTGTATTTTATTTAGAGACAAGATGTCACCGAGTTGCCTAGT